GGCCAGCCGCTCCAGCTGCTCCGGGCCCAGTTCGCCCACGTGGCGCAGGATGAAACGTTGTGCCGCGCTCGCCAGCCCAGAGCAGCTGAAGGCCTCGGCGAAGTCCTGCATGTCCAGGCAGTTAGTGAGATCGAGCTGCTGCTGCAGGAAGGCGCCACACGCCTCCTTCACTGCCGGGAACTGCAGGAGATCGGCGGCGCGCAACAGCGGCTCCGCGGTGTGGCCCACTCCCCGCCCCCCGCCCCGGAGCAGCAGCTGCAGCATGTCGGGCGGCACGCCGTGCAGGCGCACCCGCTCCGCGCGGCTCTCGCGCAGCTGCCCTGCGAACATGGCGCGGAAGTAAGGGCTGGCAGCCGCCAACACAGCGCGGTGCGCGGGGAAGTCGCGCCCGCCCGCCGCCTCCAGAGTCACGTCCAGGAACTTGCGCTCGGCACGGAGCTGGCTTAGGCCACGCAGCAGGCTCAGAGCGTGTGCGGGGTCCGAGAAGGGCAGCACGGCCAGGGGAGCCGGCCGCTCCATTTTGCCTTCCGTGTAAGGAACCGGGACGCCGCGGCCGGGGCCTGCGGAGAGACGCTGCACTCCCGGCAGTGCTGCTATAAATACGACGAAGCGCCTCGGCCTCCAGGGGGCGGGCCTGGACGGGGCGGGGCGCCGCTGGCACCGCCCACTTAACCACTGCGGGCCAGGGGACACCGCCCGCGCGCAGCAGTGCTCAGCGCACCCGCTCGCCACCCCTTCGTGCCGCACCCGCCCCCTGATCTCGCGGCTGAGTCACCACTGCCTGCGCCCATCTCTCTCTCCGTCCCTCTTCCCTGGCTTCCTACTGCTTTCCACCGACGCCCAGGCCTGAGACGGCGGAGGACAAATGCCGGCTCCGAGGGGCGGCTCCGCCGCGCGCCGCGATCGAGTGCTTTAGAGCTGGTCCACGACCTACGAAGGCCTAACAAAACCCCGGAGGCGAGTTTAGTACCCGAAACCGAAGCCACCCCTTTCTCGTGACATCCTTACTGCATTCGCCAAGAGCCCCAGGGTTGTTTAATACAATGACTCTCTCAATCTCTTTTTTTTTTTCTCAATGTTCCAAGGGTTTCTAACTAACTCCATTGCAGAACATGTTTCAAACGATAAGACTTTCGTAATTCAAGACCAAAACTCGGGTTCCTTGGTGACTTTCTTTTTCTAGGCGCATTTGTGACTCGGGCCGATTCCGGGAGTCTTGCTCCTCGGTGTTCCTAACTCAACAAAACAGTCCTTGACTAGCGGTATGGGAGGTGAGGCAGAGGAACCCCCTCAAGTTCCAGATTGGCCTTCCCAAGGGGGCAGTCCTGCTTTGGATCACGCTGGCCTTCCCAGAGTCACTTGTTCTTTTCCAGGAGAAGAAGCATTTAGGGTCCAAGGGAATGCCCTCAGCGCAAGGTCAGACCGCCTTACAAATCGGAAGATGAGACCTGTCAGCAAAAGTCACAGTCATGGGCTGTGAAGGGTGATGATGGAGAAAGGAATCTCACTTTGGTTTCAAAAGATACAGACCCACTTCCAACTAACCGGGAGGGAAAAGATCCCTCCCCTGGAAGCCATTTTTACTCTAAGGTGTGCTTTGCTCAGTTTTAGATGAAACTCCAGCTCCAGTCCTCCCCGGCCCTTTTTATTTATTTATTTTTTAAGTTTTTGCCATAGGGCTAGTGTGCTGTGGAGACAGTGAGAGGAAAAGTCCCTTCTTCTCTAAGGACTTTTTGGCAGAGGAAATTAGGATTTTTGCTATTTGTCCTTTCTTCTCCACACCCAGTGGGCCTTTAGACATGCATACTTAGGTCCCAGGACAGACCAGCCACACTGGAGTTGGCTGTCATTCCTTGGTTTCAGCCAGGTCAGCCTAGCCTTCTTCAGAGATGTTTTGTTTGCCCCATCTCTGAAATGAGAACTACGGGCCTTCTCTTCCACTCTGGAATCTCACATCATCTTACCGGTGAGAATGCATCTGGTCTGAATTTCAGGGTCAGCACGGGCAGCCCAGGCCTGAGAAAACATTCAGGTACCCAGCGGGCTGCCTGTTGCCCATAGATGGACTGTTCACACAGCTATTAACGGCAGCAGCGGCAGCATTCCTCAGCCCAGGAGCCTGGCCAATGGTTTACTTGCACAGGCTTTGGGACAAGGAAGTCTGAGTAGCCAGGAAGTGAGATGTTTGTAGGAAAAAGTATGACCATCCTCCAGTCAGCTCATCCACCTTGCATAAATCGAATGACTAAATCAGTATTTGCCCTTGAGAACTGAGCACAGTTTGATGGAATCCCTAACAATAGGGGGTTATCTCAGCAAAATATGTCTCAGCCTTTACTGTGCAGCCTGAAAGAGCAATGATTGACTTACAGAAGTGGGAAGATGTTCATGCTGTAGTGTTAAGTGAAAAATCAGATGACCCATGAGGGACCCAATTTGGTTAGATGTTCACTAGCCTAGAAGCTAGCTTAACATTTTCTCCAGGTGGCTGGGTTTGTAGGTTTTGCTTGCCTGCATTTTCTTTCTGTGCTAAACATATGTAACCTGTGTATTAAAGAAAGAATACAAAGTAAAATTCAAGGATTCAGTCCTTGAGAAGAAGTATACTATTGATAGTCCAGACATCTTAACAGGCAAGCATGTGTACTCAGCTTGGGTCAATAAGGAATGTGGTTAGAAAGAAAAAGTACAGATTTAGACCTATCAGCTGTGCTTGGAATTTTGCATAACCTACTAACCCAGGCATGCTGTTTACTTCCTCTTTTTGCTTGTCAGTCTCATGAGTTCAAAATAGAAATGTGAGAAATTCATTCACCGCAATATGACAGTGTGATCAATATAGTTAGCAATTAATACAGTCAGCCCATTGTATTATTTATTTACATTTTTTATTTTTGTTATTATTTATTTTTATTTATTTATTTATTTATTTATTTATTTTTTGCTATAGGGCGTATGCACTCGCCAGACAGAGAGAGACAGAGAGGCAGAAAGTGAGACATCACCCCCCAGGGGGGATGGCCACACGTCAATCCCTTCTCCTCCATTCTTCTCTCATGATCTTGTGCATACACACACACATGACCGGCATGCGTTTTAAGCCACCGGGTCTGGGACGTGAACCGCGGTCGACTACATGGGAGTCCAGCGACATAGCCATTACGCTAACTGCTGGTCCCTATTTTTAAATTTTTGACAGAGGGTGCATGGGCTCACCAGAGAGAGAGAGAAAGCACCCTGCATAAGAAATGATTAGGCTGCAATCTATTCTCCAATTCTCCCTTCTTTCAGGATTTTCAGCACACACACACTCTCTTGTGGGGCTTCAGGTTCCAGGACTTGAACTGTGCCATCAGCCCTGTGAGATATACCCACTGTAACCATGAGGTCACAGGCCAGCCCAGCACACTATTAATAAAGGTGATTTGAACTCCTTGGGTCTGCAGGTGGTGTGGTGGTTAAAGGCGCTGGGTTCCCACATAGCCACCATGGTTTGAGTCCTGGACCTGGAGGCTTGCTTTCTCCCTTTCCCTTTCTCTCTCTAGTCAAATTAAAAAATAATAACAAATGGAATTAAATAAATGAATAAAATAAATAAAACTCTTCAAAGATCATCCAACATAACCAATGTGGTAAAAATACTTTCATTTGTGAGAGAGGTTAACTCTGCCATTCTTCCAGCAGTTTGTAGAAGAATGTGTTTATAAACTTCACTATCAAAATTTTAGAAGTTTGGGAACCAGCAGTTAGCGTAATGGCTATGTCGCTGGACTCCCACGTAGTCGACCGCGGTTCGCGTCTCGGACCCAGTGGCTTAAAACTCACGCTGGTTGCGTGTGCGTGCATGCCCAAGATCCCGAGATGAGAATGGAGGAGAAGGGATTGCGGCATGACCATCCCCCCTGGTGGGTGATTTCTCGCTTTCTGTCTGTCTCTCTTTGTCCGGTGAGCGCACACGCCCTATAGCGAAAATCTCTCAAAAAATTTTTTTTAGAAGTTTACCACTTTTTAAAAAAAATTATTTTAGTTCTTGTTATTTTTTAAGAGTAATTTTAACTTTATTTATTTATTTAAATTTGATCAGAGAGTGACAAAGAAAGAGAGAGAGAGAAAACAAGCCCCCAGGTCCAGGACTTGAACCACAGTCAGCCATGTGGGAGTTCAGCGCCCTTAACCACCACACCACCTGCCGGCCCCGTTATTATTATTTTTTACTCTGACCCAGAGAGAGAGAGAAAGTAAGCTGCAAAATCCAGGACTTGAACCAAGGTCAGCCATGTGGAAGTTCAGCATCCCACCCACCACGCCACCTGCTGGTCCCAGAAGTTTACCACTTGTAAAATCATAAAAACGTGGGGCTGGCAGGTGGCGTGGCAGTTATGGGCGTTGGACTCCCACATGGCTGACCACAGTCTGAGTCCTGGACCTGGAGGCTTGCTTTCGCTCTCTCTCTCTCTCACACTCTGTCCCTCTCTGATCAAATTAACATACATAAATAAATAAGGCTAAATAAAAAATAATTCCTTGAAAAAAAATAATGAAAAAGGTCTTTGCCTAAGTAAATTGTGATTTTTTTTTAAAAGGTTTTTGTTATAGGGCACATGCTCTCACCAGAAAGACAGAGACAAGGAAAGTGAGAAATCACACACACAAAAAAAACCCCAAAAAAATCACGCTCAGGAGAACATCCACATCCACACTGCAATTCCTTCTCTTCCATTCTCCTGGGATTTGGGGCAGGCGTGCACATGTGCCAAGAATGATTTTCAACCCACCATGTCCAGGATTCAAAACCATGGTCAACCATGTGGGACTCCAGTGCCTTAACCACTATGCCTTAATCTGCTGGCCCAATTATAGGATTTAATATATATTATTTTATAAATAGTACTGATTAACTGAAAATAATTAAAACTACTTAATTTTGATATCTGAGTTCTAATTTTAGGCAGACAGAACATGAGATGACCAAGACTATTGCAAAAGTTGCTGCTGTGCTCTCTGAGGATATTTAGGAACACGTACATTAGTATATGTGTAGAGTTAGAAGTGATTGTGCCTTTTTCCCTATTACTCTGATTCTGGGCCTTCAAATGTGCGGCCTGTAATACACTTGCGATATATAAAACCTTTCTTGGGGCTGGCAGGTGGCATGATGGTTGAGGTTAATGGACTCCCACGTGGCTGACTATGGTATAAGTCGAGTCCTGGAAATGGTGGCTTGCTTTCTCCCTTTCCCCCTCTCTCTCATTCTTACTCTGTGCCTCTCTGGTCAAAATATAAACAAACAAACAAACAAACAAAATAAAATTCAATAATTACTTTTTTTAAAAAGAATTGTTTTATTTAACTTTATTTATTTATTTATTTAAATTTGATCAGAGAGGGACAGAGAGAGAGAGGAGGAGAGAAAAAGACAGAAAGCAAGCTGTCAAGTCTGGGTGCCAGGTCTGGATATCAAACCGTAGTCAGCCATGTGGGAGTCCAGCGCCCTTAACCATCATGCCACCTGCCAGCCCCAATAATTAATTCTTGTTTTTTTTCTTTTTTTGGAGAGGTTTTTGCTATAGGGCGCGTGCACTCACCAGACAGACAGACAGA